AGAGAGTGAAAGGCAGCATTAATCTTTGTTACAAGATATATGTACTAAATAGGATATGGGTCTCCAATCCTTTATTGGGCTGGATCCACTTCTCAATTTAAATTCTGAGTGCAAGTAAATATATCTTCCTGAACTTGTGGAGTGTATCTCCTGTACATGTCCCCATGCAAGTTATGGTGCTGTTTTGGTGATGTGCATTTTGGACTCACTGTCAGTGCCAAGCTAGAAATTTACCCTGTGTCTTCAGCGGGTGGAACAAGTTGTCTTGTGACCCACCGATGGGTAACAGTATTGGAGAGGGTGGTAACTGGTGCTTTCTCAATTCTCTTTATCCCTATTATCGCGTGCACGTATGAAACTTGTTATTATAGCATCTTGTTTTCTAGCTTTGGAGCACTACCAGAAGTAAGTTATCATTACACTCACATAAAAGGGACGTGTGGGTTTTCTCAGGAGTATAGGACAATTCAGCTCTCGGAGTTATCACTTTTTCCATCCAAGCATGTCCTTCATTGTGCGTGTGTAAAAATATTTGCACAGAGCGGGCATACCCTATTATTTTTTGGCATTAGCTGCAGTTGATTGATAATTGATTAGGGATATCGCCTTTTTCTGTCCCTTGGTTGCAATTCTACTTGTCAAGAGCTTGTAAAACTAAGTGGCCTGAGTAAATTACCAGGTAAGGTTTTTTTTTTCCTCGGGTACACACTTTGCCATCACATATCAATGAATCCGAATTATGGAGAATACGCTATTGGCAGTCTTCACAATGAGGCTAAGTGGGCATAGAACATAAACTGTGCTCCCTTTTCTGCAGTTACCTTTTCCAAAATAGACCTGTGACAGCAGTAGACCATTAATAGTGCATTAAGAGAACATTTACCTGTGGGGCTGCAAATTGTTTGGCTTCCTGCCCTGCGTCCCCTGTTCTGTGGTCTCTTATCTAAGAATGTCAGCAAAGTTTCTTTTGTAGTAACAACTTTGGAAAGGATAATTTTTTTTTTTAATTTATTTTTTAAAATTTGTAGAGCCACCTATGGCAAATAAATTCTAAAAAGAAATGTGTAGCTTTCTAGGCACTTATTTGTATCCCTCCTGGTATTCGGCTTGGTGCCTTCAGTCCTGCCTTGTTTCTCTGGGCAATCTGATACTCTGAAATGTGCTGTACAGCTCAGCAGAAAAAGGAATTTGCTTTGTCTAAGTCATTTAATAGCTTTTAAATCCCAGTGGATTACAAATTTGCAGGGTACTATATGCTGGCTGTATCTTGATCTCCAGGTCTTAAACGTGCTTTGAATTGTTTCTTAATAACTATGAATAGAACTGTTAGTTAAAGCCAAAGCAGTGAGAACAAGTGGTATCACAATAAGAATAGAAGGACGAGGATTAAATAAAATGTCGATTGTGGAAACTGTTAAAATTTGCAAGTTAAGTTTTACAGTAGCTTTAATACAGTCACTTATGGATTGCATCACTGAGACATAGTAAACACTTCCTTAAGTAGCATTCCTATAACCATGTTTAGTCCTAGGAAAATAAGCCAGTTTGGAAGGCACCAGGCTATGAAGCCACATGCTGAGAGTGTGCTGTAATGTACTGCAGTGACACTTTCCATGAGGCACAAGACAACTGTCATAAGGGGGTAGCACCATTTCGTGACCTGGTGCGCTGGTAAAACAGAAAGCTCTGAGAAACTGTCATTTAGATAAAAGATCTAAATCTCTTATTCTGGATATAGAAGATAATCTAAACTATCTAGATACAGATAGTGTAGATAAAGAATCCATGCACAGTAGAGTGCTTCAGCAGAACTTGTTATCTCATGAATGGAGGCTTTGTAAGTAATTCCAAGTTTATCCTTCAGAATGCTACAACATCAGTGAGAAACCCCAATACTACTGGAAAGAATCTTAAATAACCTGCAGGTTATTTATATATAAAAAGGCAGCCCATAAACCCAGTGACTGTCGTCAAACTATTTATTGAAAACAGCTTGACTCAGCAGTAGTAGCATCTTTTCCTTGTTTCTGTCATAGCAACATCGGCTGCTTAGTGTCTTCATAAAATGAGCAAGATTGAGAAGAGAGTGTCTCTGAGCAAATTCAGTGCCGTAAAAATGTTTGTTTTCAAGAGAAACTGTTTAAATTATTTGAAAACTTCGGGATCTTTGGATAAAATTTATGTTTTGTGTCTATCAGTGCAGCATCCAGTAAGTTGAATCAGGTGTTGTAAAGGCGAAGTAGAGGACCACAGTGAGATATTAGCAGTGGACAAAATTCTGATTTGCTTTATATATATATATCTATCTATCTGTGCATATATGAGCTAAGAAGTGCCAGGTTCCATTTCTTCTTAAGAAACTAAATGAGAAGTAGCTTTCTTGACAGTAGGAATCAGATCTGTATTTTAAGACTGCTCAACTGGTGGGGTCATTGCTATTAAACTCTTAATTAAATGAAAAATGGGGAAAACCCATTTACTTGAGTGGTACAAGGTCAGAACATTCACCATAAATGTCTAAAAGAAGAGATGGAAATGGCTGAGGTTTTTCTCCAAATTCCTCTTTGAGTTTAGCATGGTGTGCTTGAAACAGTTCTACAAACTGCAATAACATCTGCAGATAAGCACATATCCATCACTGAAGCTTAATTCATGAGAGGCTCATTAATTTACTGGTTCAGCTTTCTAATATTTATTGCCAAATTGCCATGCAAGGTTCATGTGCATTTACCCTTGAGTGCTTTCAGTTGTTTTTTCTGTATTACCCTAATATTGTTCCTTCCAAGGATGCTTGTTATAATTTTTAGTATTTGCAAATGACTTAATGTGGTGCTAAGCCTTTTTAGATGCATATCACTAGAACAAGATACTGCTTGAGGCAGACAAGTTAGTCTTATAAACTAGATCCTAACCCTGTAATGATCCAAACCAAATACCATCCTAAGACTCCATCATGTTGAGCCCTGAGGGTAGACGTGCCTAGTATCTCTGTTGTGGTTCTTGATACACTCTGGTTTCAGGTCTCCCATGAGCTCAGTAAAGCTAGTTACCTTAAAATGAGGAAAGTCTTACCTTCCTGAAAGACTGCTTCTCAAGCTAACATCCCTTTATTAAAACAAATGTGTTTGCAGAGATACTTCAGCTGCAGCCATACTTATCTCTATCTGCATACAGAATGACTTTCTTATGCCTCTACCTGCAACTCATCCGCTGCAGGTCAACAGGACCCCTGCCCAGAACCACTTCCAATACTGTCTTCTCTCTCCTCTTTTCTCTGGGTATCTAGAATTAGGGATTTCACTGCACAGCTCCCCCATATCCATAGCAGTTCTTGCTTCTTCCTTTCAATTGGAAAGGAGAAGTCGATAAAACTAAAGTTTAGCAAGCTGCTCCTTGTCACTGTAGGAGCTCTGAGAAGAGAGCCCAGCAAGCTGCACATAAATTCTTCAAATAAATTGAGTCAAACCCAACAATCAAAATGTTATTCTTTAACAGAAAGTTGCATTTTTAAGAATAGACCATTTTTGAAAATTCAATCCATATCTTCTCAAGGTATGAAATCTGTCTAGAATTTACAAGATTCAGTTCCAGGGAAATTTTTTGCCGTCATCTACTGGCCTTTCTTACTCTGTTTCTGAGACAGCAGAAATTAAAGAGTCTAAAAAATCAGGCAAGAAAAAAGAAGGCCAAAGGAAATTTCATACTGGCAATGGGGATTTAGGATATATTTTATCTTTTAAACTATTTACATTAAATGTTTTTAAAACTATGGTAATTTGAAATAGCAAAAGAAGGGAAATTCCAAATATCTGACAATTTTAAGTAGCTGAAGTCTAACTTAGCAAAATGTCTGGCCTTGTTATATACCCAGAGTTAAATACCTGGTGAGATACCTAGTAAATACACACTTGCTCTATATATCTTAACAGACACTGAAAAGCAAGGAGGATTTGTCAGAGGGCTGAGAAGTAGTGGATATTTGAAAACAGACTAATTTTAACTACTACATTTTATAGTAGCCTATGTTTTGATTTCATTCATACAAAAGGTAATGTGTATATGATGTCTGTAGATCAATGGAGTTAGTTAGTTCTGCTTTTCATCTCTGCAAGTAAAAGCAGACTTGGTTGTTCTCCATGGAGAGAGAAATGCTCATGGTTGCTTTTGTGACCATTTTTGCCCTGCAAACTTAAGTATCTGCATTTGTGTGTTTCACGAAGTTGTGGTAGTTTTCTGAAAATTATGTAACACAGTTTAAAAATAAAACCCATGGTAAGGCAAGCCATATCTGCAGGGTCTGAATGTGAAACTTCTGCGCTTGAATTATTGTAAACTTTCAAAATCCATTCTAATTGTCGATGTTTTGAAAAGGCATTATGTTTCTCACTGTAGTTACAAGTAGGAGCAGCTGCAATTTTGCTGGTGTCTGTGCTGTATAAAGTCTCTCTTCAGTTGCTTCATCCTGAAGAGTGCTCTCACAACTTTCTGCCTGTGAGAAACGCATGTTACTTGTCCCTGGCATAGATGATCTGTATAAGGTTTGCCATGGCATGAATTCAAGTAGTAGGAGTTTTTGCTTCTGTGCTTTGTATTGCCTACATTTTACTGTCACACAGCTTCCTTTATACTATATCAATCTTTATTTTCAGGAAGAATATGTAACAGATAAGTCCCAACATAAAATTATGTGCTCATAAAATGTTAAGTGTAGTAATAACTATTAGACAAATTTTACCTTCACGAGTAGATCTGGTTTGGGGACGCATTGACAAGCAGAATCCAGCACAATGTTGCTTCTAATCAAGCAATTCTTTGCATCTTCATGAACATCTGGGGTAAGGATTTTGAACTTGGTGACATATATAAAATGAATGGGAGTTGGACATCCAAATTTCTAAGGCAATAGTGAAAATCTCAGGTGTAGTGTTTACTCAGATGGCTTAGTAGTTGTTTTGGGAAATGCCTTGTTGATAAATATTTTTTTTTTATTACTATTACAGACGTTTACAGCCTGGTGCAATTCCCACCTCAGGAAAGCAGGCACGCAGATTGAGAACATTGAGGAGGACTTCAGAAATGGCCTCAAACTGATGCTCCTCTTGGAAGTAATCTCAGGTTGGCTAAAATAAAGTTCGCTATATATTTACAGCATGCTCACTGAAACACTCTTAAAAGAACAAAAATTGTTAAAAATTCAAAACAGTGAACACAGACTCTAAGTAGGCTGAAAAGTGAGAGATGAAACACACTCTAAAACAAAAGGGAGGGGAAAAAAAGCTATGCTTTTTCCTTATCTCCAAAATCTTCTGGTTTGTGCTTGTATTCCAGGATATCACAGTGTATCAGGGACATCACAGTGTTGTTGGACAAACCACAAACATTGATAACCTGGTCTTAGCCCCTAACAATTAAGAAGCCTTTACACTTAGGTTACAAATTCATTTTATTCCACTTTTAGTATAAGAGTTTTGCTTTGCTTTGAATGACTTCATTGGGTGGACCAATGCTTTCAAAAGTGAGTGCCTAAATAAAACTAGATCAATATTTAGTCACAAGTAAAAGGTTTCATTTTGCAGAAGGGTAGAACATCCAAGAACTCTTTTTGACTAACTAATGTAAACTCACTATGTCACCCCTTTTTATGTGTTATTCAGAGGGGCAGTCCCCAAGGTACACTCAGAATGCTCCTGAATGGGAAAGAAATAGCTCCAGTTTCAGACACACAATAAAGGTGAAAAAGGGCAAGAAGATTTTTAAGACATCTTTACGGAAAAGACAGTTTACATTTTTGCTGGAGATTTCAGTGGGGAAAGAGGATCTTCAAATGCTCACTCTTCGTGCAATGGAGAGTCATATTTTCAGAAATTATTCTTCTTTGTGATAATTTGGAAGGATAAATTAATTCAAACACAACAGCCTATGCTCTGAAATTAGCTGCTCCTCTGTACTGGATGAGGCGGTTAAAAGCCATTGTTCTTGCTCAGATGTGGAAGGATGGTACGGCTAATCTGCTGGATAGAGTCCAGCCTCTCTTTACAGTCAAGCAGGTAAGGGTGATGAGCTCTGAGGACATCCTGCTGTCTTAATATTCAGCTACTCTAAACCAGACAGTAGCAATGAATGAGAAGTTGAGTAGCAGGAAGCAATCACATATCTTCCAGATGTTTAGGGCAACCGTAAAAATTTTACTCTGGTTTTACTGCTATATCAGAAAGATCTAAGTCAGATGTTTCAACATTTGAATTTTCTCTTCAGGGTTTTGTTCAAAGCCATTTGACATTCTTTCAGAAAAATACCTGTTAAAATAACTGCTAACTTTTAGACAGTGTTCAGGGCACATTCACTCTTGAGTTCTAATCAGTTGGGTCTCTGTAGCCAAGTGTATGTAACAATAAACGCATTAAATTTGTTATTCTGCAGGGGAAAGACTACCGAAACCAGACAGAGGGAAGATGCGCTTCCATAAAATTGCTAATGTCAACAAAGCTCTGGATTATATCGCCAGCAAAGGAGTGAAACTTGTGTCAATTGGTGCAGAAGGTATGTGGCAGAGTTTGACAATGCACCTTACTCAGATCCTAGGCATTCACATTGCAAAGAAGTCTGACAGAGACCCTTGGCCAAATTGTGCGGGCTGTTCTCTATATACGGGTGCCTCAAAAATCGCTTAATATTGATTGCTCACCTATATCTGTGAAAGGACAAGAGATAGAAATTTGTGGATGCCTGGAGAGTGATAGGGGTATAAATGGGCTCTAAGGTTAGTTTATCTCCAAGGTTAAATTGAATTATCTGTGTTTCAGTGGGTATTCAGATAATTTCTTCATTCAGAGCATTACGTTTTTCCTATACATTATTAAAAATAAGGAACTCCTGTAGAAATCAGGTTGGATTCTAGGGTGTGCTTTATCCAATCTGGGATCTTTTTTTATATTTATGAGATATTATTCAGACAAGACAAAGGCTGACATCACTACCAGGTGGCTGGGACCTACTCCCATTTTATTATAAGACTGACTGTGGATGGCAGCTGTGTTTCTAAAATTCAGATGTAGAGTTAAGGGAGTGATCAAAAGAAATTATGGTAGCTGGGGAGAGACTGAACATATGCAGAAAGTGGGATGATATTTGCTAAAGTTATTACTTTGTTATTGTTCTGTTGTTCAGGTAGTTAAATAAAAAAAAGCAGTTGGCTAGCTAAATGCTGATAGCTGTAAACTCTGAGCAAAAGAAGGCAGGCTCTCACTGCAAGTGAACCTATGCCTCCTATGAGATTCACTTAATTGTTTAAAAAGGGCAAAGGTCTGTCTAGAACTAACTGCTTCATGGAGGTATTTGCATAATGCTTTGCATAGCCATTACCATACAAAAGAGTGATGGGGCTAGCATGATATCCAACTACTTTTGATTCCATAGCCTCAATGATGTGCTGTCCATTCTGGGGGCAGCCTCTGATGTCCTTAGAGCAAAACTCTGGCTGTAATCTCAGTATCATGGTGAGAAGCTCTAGCTATATTCTAATCACATTGCTATGCCTTTTTAGATCTATTTATGAGCCTTCTCTTCCTGTTTTCTGATTTCTCCAGGGTTATATATGTCTTTATTCTGGCTTCCAAACCTAGATCTTGGGGAGCTTACTGTAACTCTGGCTGGAGCAGGAAGATTCATTAGGTGGGGCAGGGGCATCTGAAGAAGTAATGGAGAGATCTATCAGCATTCATTGATTCCACAACAGTTTGACCGAGCCTGCTTGGTTCCTCAAATATTGTTCACCAAATGTGTTCAGTTTCTACATCTAGGACTTGAAAATCCCAAGAAATGGGTGTTCTCTGGGAAGAGC